TCATGACATAGTTTCACAAAAGTATTATTGCATGAAACTCTATGGTTCATAGCAATAGTGGCTGTCTTCTGCCGGTCAGAGCATACTCTGGACTTGCTTATCCTGTGGCTCAAGAGCAAGAGTTCCTCGTAAGCGAAGATGCACTTTCCTGACTGCAGGGTGAGTCTCAAGGGCTTGACCACTTGAAGTATAGCTGCAAGGTACTGTAGGTGCTTCTTGAAGTTTGAGAAAAACATAATGATGTTGGCCACGTACACAAGACAAGTCTGCCACTTCAAGCCAGCCAGTACTGTACCCATAACGCGTTGGAAGGTCGCAGAGGTCGAGCAAAGACCAATGGCATCACCTTGAACTTGAAATTTGTGATCTTGTTCACGCGGTGATAGTTGACGCAGGAACGTAGGGTTCTGTCTTTCTTCATGAACACCACAGTAGACGCTCAGGGATTCTAGGACAGCTGGATTATGTTGTTGCGTAGGATTTCGCCAACTTGTTTTTTTATGGTGTCGCACTCTTGCACTGAAACTCGATTTGGCCTCCGACGGTTTGGCCAAGCACTTTTCTGTTGTGATACAATGAAAATCATTTGTTGAATTGCAAAAGCAGAGCATTGAGCTGGTCTTGCTTGTGCTTCGGGAGGCTCGGATTAGTGTGAAAATCTGTTTCGAGACCTTGATTTGTCAAAGCAGGTGGGGCAGCATTGAAGAGGGCTAAAACATTGATGGTGTCTACAAATTTCTTAATGTAGGCAACCGTCGTAGCATTGTTTAGGGGCCTATACTTGCGGCTGAAGTTTGTCAGCAGTACCTTTGCTTTGCCATCACGAAACTTGGTGATGCCTTTTGTAATGCAAATCTGATGATTCACAAACAGGAACTGATTGCCCTCAATAATGTCTTCAAGGTCTGCGGGTTATTCGGTGCCGTCAGAAATGACGACGCTGAAGAGAGGCGGAACGGTGACCTGTTCTTTTATTACATTCAATGCATGGCTCCCTGGTGTCATGTGGGGTGGCAACGCTTTTTCTGAGGTTAGTGCTATTTACACAGACATGATGTCGATGACGGCCCCGTGCCGATTTAGGAATTCCATTCAAAGTATCATGTTTCTGGGGCAATGTTGTAGAATTGCAAAGCCCGCAGGATAAGTCTGGCTATTGATGCTGACTCTTGCCGTGTACACTTTAGCCGGCATTACTACATGGCTTCAAGTGGTCTGGATATTGTGGCCTTCTCAAGCAGTCTGGGCTTTTTTTAACTTCGCGGTGAAAGGTCTAGCGACAGCAGAATAGTTGGCTACAGTGTTGACGAGAGCGGTGACGTTTTGGCTATCGAATATTACATCAAGGCCACTAGTTCGTCATCTTGCGTTACGGTTGGGCTGAATTGTCGAATCACGTCTACGTCGGTTTGCTCCGCTGCTTCCACATGGTGTCATCATGTCTTTCAACCGTGAAGTTTCGACTTCAGGGCTCCATCCTGCTTCTGGTGTATTCTTGAGATATTGACGCGGTGGTGTCATCGGCATCTGCGGAGAATCTTTGGTAGTTTGTCGTATAGCGAAAAACAGCACTTTTATCTGTTGTTGCCCTCACTTTTCCAGTGAAGGGCTCAAAGATAAGCCCAGAGTAGGGCCAGCATACTGCCCGGGATGTGGTGAGGTGGAATGGCTCACTCAGCGAAGGCAAATGGGAATGTTGTCGGTGTGTCCACTGCGCTCCTTCGAAGTACTAGTTGGTGCATTAACAGGTGAAATCATGCAGTCCCATTTGATGGTACTGGCACTGGCGTTATGTGCCTGGCTTCACTGCAGTGGTAGTATACGGGTTGGCAGTCTGGGGCATGCCAGATGTGCCTCTCTGGGTGTGTACTAGAGCGGTTGACTGGCGGGCAGGGTGGCGAGGGTGCGGAAGGGGGGGGGGGGGGTGGTATGGCTACTGCAGCAGCATAGTTGATAGTTTGCTGCTGTGGTTGTGCTGGCTGAGGGACACCAAGTGACTATTAAATTCCCTCATGCACTTCTCATGTACCACTTAGCACTATCTCTGGTGGAAAAGAGAGCTTCCTGAGTTCTTCTTGCACATCGGCTCTGATCTTGCTCAAGCCGTTGGTGCCAAGGCCGTGAAGAGCTGGGCTATCTCGGATGGATCCGTCCTTGCACTGTCCGGTGCGCATATGTAGTGTCTGCTCAATCGTCGTTGCTTCTGAGACGAAGTCTTGGACTGTCAAGGGTAGGTTTCGCATAAGCACAGCGGGGGAGGTGGAGGTCTTGCTTTACGGACTTTCTGTCCTCGGCCATAGCAGCGTAAGCATGGCGAAGCAGTCAGGTCATTTTCTAATGTGAAGATGGCTATGCTTTCATTCAGCAGTTGAACTCGTGTCCGGCAAGGCTGTCTCTTTCCTTTTGGACGATGTCTCTTAGAAAGTGCTGCGAAAGATACTCAGGTTTGAAGAGTGGACTCCCAATACTCAACCAGGTCCTTGCTGCGTCCTCCAGGTAATAGTACACATGGCACAGCTTGTTCTTGGAGTCCCAGTTGGTAAATGTTGAGACGCTTTTGAATGTATCTAGCCATTTTAGGGGTCCTCACTAGATGATCCATGGAAGCGCAGTGACTCTGTGGGGGGCGGCATAACGATCATTGCAGGGGACACTGCGGCCGTCATTGTGCCTGTCGTCCTTGTTGCCGTCACTTTTGGCTTGTCCGGTAGAAGTCCATGCCGTAGGGGTAGCCCTTTCAGCCTGGGTCAGTGTGTTCGTCATGATTTAGGCTAGGTTCATAGCTTGACAGGGGCATTGAGAACATGAACGAACGCCACCCCCGCCAGTTGTCATGTGGTCATGACATTGACGGAGGCAGCAGTCAGCGTCTTCAAGGCGAAACTCTTTATTTGGCCGAACTTGTGACTGCAAAATGAAAACTCAGTTTACAGCAAACAACACATGCTGTGCACTAATATCAGCGCACAGAGTGTTAGTCATGAAAAAACTGGTCATCATTGGAATGCGCCTGTCTTATGCGACGTCATGCATAGAATCTTGTCCGGTAGAAGTCCATGCCGTAGGGGTAGCCCTTTCAGCCTGGGTCAGTGTGTTCGTCATGATTTAGGCTAGGTGCACAGCTTGACAGGGGCATTGAGAACATGAACGAACGCCACCTCCGCCAGTTGTCATGTGGTCATGACATTGACGGAGGGAGCAGTCAGCGTCTTCAAGGCGAAACTCTTTATTTGGCCGAACTTGTGACTGCAAAATCAAAACTAAATTTACAGCAAACAACAAGTGCTGTGCACTAAAATCAGCGCACAGAGTGTTAGTCATGAAAAAACTGGTCATCATTGGAATGTGCCGTCTTATGTGACGTCACGCATAGAATCTTGTCTGGTAGAAGTCCATGCCGTAGGGGTAGCCCCTTCAGCCTGGGTCAGTGTGTTCGTCATGATTTAGGCTAGGTTCACAGCTTGACAGGGGCATTGAAAACATGAACAAACGCCACCTCCGCCAGTTGTCATGTGGTCATGACATTGACGTAGGGAAGCAGTCAGCGTCTTCAAGGCGAAACTCTTTATTTGGCCGAACTTGTGACTGCAAAACGAAAACTCAATTTACAGCAAACAGCACATGCTGTACACTAATATCAGCGCACACAGTGTTAGTCATGGAAAAAACTGGTCATCATTGGAATGCGGCGTCTTATGCGACGTCACGCATAGAATTTCGCAGCCTTATCACTAGTTGTCGTGCAAGTTCTCGATTAAGCTCGAGTGTTTGTGTGCAGTGTGCATTCTTAACAAAACAATGGTGAAGCTTCTTGAACACTAACGTGCGATTTGTGCTTGTCATTGCTGACAGTCTGTGTTGGCATAAATAGAATACAGCAAAAGCAAAAAAAATTCCGCCATATCCACGAAGTGAATGATGATGAGTGGGCAAAGCTCCGGAGGTAAACCTGGTAAACCATGAATCCTCTGTACATTTTGCCCACTCGATTTTATTACATCGCTCCCCCTAGTGTACGTCGCCGCACTAAATCGAACGATTGCCTTCAACCAATGACACGCGCCATATGTGACATCATTCCTATTTTATAAGATCTCGCGTCTTTCATCAACTACAAGTACCGCTTTCTAGTTTATAACATCTTGCATCTTTTCATCATCAGCTACAAGTACCACCATCTAGTAAACACTACAAGAACTAAACGAGAGGTGGCTACATACAGGAGACGGTACCGCCATCTAGTGAACACTGCAAGAACTAAACTAGAGGTGGCTACATACAGGGGACCGTACCGCCATCTAGTGAACACTGCAAGAACTAAACTAGAGGTGGCTACATACAGGCTACAGGGGACGCACAGCCCCACGGGGCAATGGGGCAATGGGATAGTGTGTGTGTGTGTGTGTGTGTGTGTTTGTGTGTGTGGGGGGGGGGGGCTCCGATGAAGGTTATGATGACACTGTTAATTTTAGTGCATTCACAGACGACAAGAGCCATCTGCTGTCGTGACAAACTACAGAGGCATAAGAAACACCCGCACCAAAGTTCACATGGATGACAAAACACCTTTCTTGATTGTATGAAGATGATTACATTAGTCTTCCTATTCAGTCTTGATTCTGTATGAACAAATCCGAGCAAGTGGTGAAGTTTACCATTAGAAAGCAGTGGGTGGCTATGAAAGATGGTGTGGTGCTGGATGATTCCGGATTTGTGCTTATTATTGTGAGTTAACGATGCCCAAATCTGAGTACTTGGCTGTCTTTGTATTTCGCCCTCATTGGAATGTTGCCACAGAGGCTGGAAATTGAGTTTGGGACCATATACTTGGCACTAAAGTGATGTAGCTTTGACATCTGTGTGCCAGCTTCAATAGTTGTTTTTTGTGTAAGCATTTGGCTTTGTGCTAGTGTACTGTGTTAACTACACTGTGTGTGCGTGTGCCCACTCTTGTACCGGCATGATTGCTTCTTAACTGTGTTGGATTCTTGGCTTTGCAGCTGGGAGAACTGCGCTTTGTAGACCTTCAGTCGAAAACTCAGCTGGCTTCTACGGCCATCGGGCGTGCCATAGTGGATGTGCACATCGTGAGCGCCGTTCGCAACATCAGCCATCTTCTTGTGAGTGGCCACTCTCTGCTCATCCCTTGCTCTAATGTGCACCTTAATGATTCTTACTCTGCCATTTGAGCTGTGTGCAAATATAAGAGACAAATGTTCTTTTTTTGTAGTCCATCTGCCCATGCAGTTCCAAGCCTTTTCCAAATACTTTGTGGTTTTTAATAGCTCTTGATTGAGATCTGAAATTTCGTGATATGCCCTCAACATGTGGTGTCGATTTTTCTCTTACTTACATTCTCCACAGACTTGATCGTGAGAAATGGCACGGGACTAAATCCTGGCCACTGCAGCTACACTTTTGATGGAGGCCAAAATGCTCGAGGCTTGTCTACTTAGATTCTATGTGCACGTGCATATTAAAGAACCCCAGGTAGTCAAAATCTTCTGGGCCCTAGCTGCAATACGGCGTCTCTCATAATCATATCGTGGTTTTGGGACGTTAAATCTTATCAGTTATTATTATTATTAGACAAGTGGAAGCTTGCATCTTGTACTGTGAAGACCCATTTCTAATCAGTTTTTTTTTTTACATTTTTAACCACTGGAAAAAACACAAAACACATCGGACTGAAAGAAAGATATAAGCAATGCTAGCACTTTGTGTTATCCTTATCTTTCATTCCAACTCATGTGTTCTACAGCAGAACTGAAAATCGGCAATTAAGTTTGAGGACTGTTTGTAATATAAAATCTCAGGATGCACTAAAGACACTTGGCAAAAAAGTGAGTGAACTGTTAGAAATTCAGAACCTGTTTGCTTACTTCACTGCATTTTGTACATGCTGAAATTTTACCACAACCTCAGCTTTAGTTCAGCCATTTCAAAGTTATGCCAGCTAGCCTGCACACCCGGCTTCTAGACTTCATGAATACACTCTTGCTATCGCCATATGACACTTCCTCACTGGATGTTTGAAAGGGCCAGTCAATGGAGTGGATGTATCATGAACCCATTAACTTTACTTTATACAGCATGTAGACTGCAGTTATCATTTCTCATAACTGAGAAAAGAACTTTTAAACTGCAACACATGTTTTTCAAAAAATTGACCAATAATTCTTGCCTATACTTTCAAGATATCTTTCCATAAAATTAAACCACCTTTGGTATGTCTTATTAATGTGTATTTTCACGTTCATATTTTAGGGCTCTTACATTGGCAGCGTTACAAAGCATGTGTGCCGATGGACAATGTGGACAGTGCTGTTGGCATGCGTCGCACTTTCACTTGTCATGACCAGGCATGTGATTTTTTCTGCTGAGTTATAAAGCCATTAACACTGATTAATCAGCATTCTTTTGTTCTGCTAGGTTCTGTTACCACAGTGTTTATGGGCTTAGTTAAAGACAAAAAAATCTCTCTGATTGTACAGTGTGTTTTCATACAGGACAGGAAAAGATTTCACGTTAGGGGCATGTAGTGACTCTCATTGTCCAACCTATTAAGCATCGTAGCTGTTCAGGCTTCCGCATGACACTTCCACGCTTAGCCTAAAGTCACTGCGCACTCATTGACAAACACTGCTGTTTAGTTCAATCTGCTGTTTAATTTCTTTCTTCCACTCCTTCAATTCATTCTCAACAGAGACCTTGTGTGTGTAATACTTGCCAAGGACAATGTTGTATGTCGAGCATGTAATTAGAATCGATGTATGATGTGTGATGTGATTAAATCTATTGTTGGCAGGTGACCGACGTTGACCGACAGCACTGGCATCTGCTGCTAGAGGACAAAGCCAGCAATCATGATTGGCTCCGGGGCGGTCACTTGCCGGTCATCACTGCTGTTGGTGCTGCCGGTGCTGCCACGTCTGAGTGGCGACTGTGGTCATCGACTGATCGTGAAGATGCGATGGCTGGCCAAGGTGTGTTGCCTATCATTGGTGCTTGTAATGTCTAGGCTATTTTTGGACAGTGCACAACAAGACAGTACACGTGAAAGAACACTAGGCAAACGTTGATCTCACAACTGCTGATTTTAATTTGAAGATGCGAATATGCATAGCGGATCAAGTCAATTGATTACACATAAAAACACATTGGTCATAGAGCCATATATAAGAACAATCTTTTGTTCGGAGAAAGATACTGATGGTTTACTTGTGTAGTTATCATTTTTTAGTCATCTCTATTCTTCTTTGATCTGCATAGTGCATTTGCTGCAGTGGCTGGCAAGGTGAGATAACATGTGTACTCTGTTAAGTGCATTAATCATTATCCTCCCTCTTGTTCCTGATTAGCATATAGGATTCCTTGATGTACAGCACCTTGTGCAATACTCACAGTTTTAAATGGGACATTAGGGCTAAGCAAAGCACATGCATTTGTTTCCACTGTCTTTAATCTGGGTCACATTGGCATGATTTCAAATTCAACGCATATATATCAGTCAGCATTATTGATAGAGACCAGACTCATCACAATGTGATGTGAATATCTTGAGTTACTGCACATACAAGTCGTTATTCTAAAGGATTTGATATTGCCTTTGAATTCGTGAGTACTCTACATCGGCTAGGCAGGCCGGTGTTTTAACATCAGATTAAGAGAACATGCTAAACATGCTCCTTCGTCCATTGGTCAAGAGCACACTCCACATGCACATGAAATGGGGGCGGAGGAAGAGCTAGGTGGCGAGGGTAGCTTAATTAAGAGAACGTGCTAATTTTTTGAAGGCAGGAATGTTATCCCATCTTGCAATCTACTGCAGAAATTGTGGCTGCACGTCTTTCTTTAAGGGCATCACCTTCATCATGCGGCATCATAATCTTGGAGCTAGAGAGATAACTGAAGTGTACCACATCATCAAAGATTATAACTGCAGAAATAAATCCTTGGTTTCACTCTCTGAACAACGAATTGCATTCATAGATGGCTCGTAGGCACATGTGTCTTCTTGTGTTGTCAGCTCACATAATTCACTGCACATATATGTGTCCTTCGAATAAACCTTCAGTTGCTAAATAGTGCTTGTCCTGTGTTCTTTCTCCTGTGTTGTTTTGTTGTGTGCTGCCCAAGAATGACTGCGTTTCAAACGACCCACATTTCGGTGTTGCTACAGTTCATGGTTAGGGTACTGCTAAGGCAAGGCACATGTTATGAGGCAGTAATTACGTTAAAAGTGTGTGCACTCCAGGCTTTGCATTGCTTTTCATGTGTGCTATGATTGCAAAGGAATCATGTAGTTATGATGCTAAGCGCTATGTCACGAATTCAGGCCGTGCCACAGTGCCCACATTCTCATAAAGGTGCTACGCGAGAGTGCTGCACACAGAAATACCAAAGACATGCTTGCTATCAACAGGATCGTGTATGAAATTAATGAAACAGCAAAGGTGCGCGTGTCTCCAACACTCACCGATTCAAAGTGATGCTGCTGTGGACAAAACAAAAGCAAATGTGATCACCGATAGCAACGACTGAGTTGTGAAGGCACTTGTATGGCTGGTGCTGATGGATTGAAAACACAAACACCACAACTGCTGCTCACTAAAGCAGGGTCACTATCGGTGTGATCATCCATAGTGACTATGCAGCTCAGAAGGTACACAGCTAATGCAGTGGTAGATTAAAGGCTTATCATCATCATCATCATCAGCCTGACTACGTCCACTGCAGGACAAAGGCCTCTCCCATGTTCCGCCAGTTAACTCGGTCCTGTGCTTGCTGCTGCCAATTTATACCCGCAAACTTCTTAATCTCATCTGCCCACCTAACCTTCTGGCTCCCCCTAACCCGCTTGCCTTCTCTGGGAATCCAGTTAGTTACCCTTAACGATCAGTGGTTATCCTGTCTACGCGCTACATGCCCGGCCCATGTCCATCTCCTCTTCTTTATTTCAACTATGATATCCTTAACCCCCGTTTGTCCCCTAATCCACTCTGCTCTCTTCTTGTCTCTTAAGGTTACACCTACCATTTTTTTTTCCATTGCTCGCTGCGTCGTCCTCAATTTAAGCTGAACCCTTTTTGTAAGTCTCCAGGTTTCTGCTTCATAGCTAAGTACCGGCAAGATACAGCTGTTATATACCTTCCTCTTGAGGGATAGTGGCAATCTACCTGTCATAATTTGAGAGTGCTTGCTGAATGTGCTCCACCCCATTCTTATTCTTATAGTTACTTCAATATCTTGGTTAGGCTCTGCGGTTATTACCTGCCCTAATTAGACATAGTCTTTTACAACTTCAAGTGCACTATTACCTATCTCGAAGCGCTGTTCCTTTCCGAGGTTGTTGTACATTACTTTCGTTTTCTGCAGATTAATTTTAAGACCCACCTTTCTGCTCTCCTTGTCTAACTCCGTAATCATGAGTTGCAATTCGTCCCCTGAGTTACTCAGCAATGCAATGTCATCGGCGAAGCGCAAGTTACTAAGGTACTCTCCATTAACTCTTATCCCTAACTGTTCCCATTCTAGGCTTCTGAAAACCTCCTGTAAGCACGCGGTAAATAGCATTGGGGAGATTGTGTCCCCCTGCCTTACACCCTTCTTGATTCGTATTCTGTTGCTTTCTTTATGAAGCACTATGGTAGCAGTTGATCCCCTGTAGATTTCTTCCAGAATGTTTATATATACTTCATCTACGCCCTGATTCCGCAGTGTCTGCATGACGGCTGATATTTCTACTGAATCAAACGCCCTCTCGTAATCTATGAAGGCTATGTATAGTGGTTGGTTATAATCTGAGCATTTCTCTATTACCTGATTGATAGTACGAATGCTGGTCAATTGTTGAGTAGCCTGTTCAAAATCCTGCTTGTTTCTTTGGTTGATTAAATTCTAATGTTTTTTTTACTCTGTTAGCAATTACCTTTGTAAATAGCTTGTATACTACAGAGAGCAAGCTGATCGGCCTGTAATTCTTCAAGTCCTTGTAATCTCCTTTCTTATGTATTAAGATGATGTTAGCGTTCTTCCAAGACTTTGGTACTCTTCCCGTCAAGGAGACACCTCGCTAAACAGGGTGGCTAGTTTTTCTAACACAATCTGTCCTTCATCTTTCAGCAGATCTGATGTTACCTGATCCTCACCAGCAGCTTTACCTCTTTGCATGCTCTCCAAAGCTTTTCTGACTTCTTCTATCATTACTGGTGGGGTGTCGTCTGGGTTACTGCTAGTTCTTATAGTATTAGGGTCGCGGTTGTCTCGGCTACTGTACAGATCTCTGTAAAACTCCTCTGCTATTTTAACTATCATATCCATATTGGTAGTTATTTTGCCTTGTTTGTCCCTTAGTGCATACATCCGATTTTTGCCTATCCCAAGTTTCCTCTTCACTGCTTTGACGCTTCCTCCATTTTTCAGAGCGTGTTCAATTCTCTCCATGTTATACCTTCTTACATCGCATACCTTATGCCTATTAATCAACTTCGGAAGTTCTGCCAGTTCTATTTTGTCTGTTGTACTTGAGACTTGCATGATTTGACGCTTCTTAATTAGATTCTTCGTTTTCTGGGAAAGCTTGTCATTGTCCTGTCTAACTACCCTGCCTCCAACTTCCACTGCACACTCCGTAATGATACTCATCAGATTATCATTCATTGTATCTACGCTAAGGTTGGTTTCCTCACTAAGAGCCGAGTACCTGTTCTGCAGCGACACTCTGAATTCCTGTACTTTCCCTCTCAGTGCTAGCTCATTGTTTGGTGTGTGCTCCCACATGCATACGTCAAATAACTCACGGCCCGCAGTCCCCAGCAGCTGCGAAGCAACTGACCACGGTGGCGGTCAGATCTGCAACACAGCAGAGGGTGCTAAGAATCTGGATCCGGACAGGCCGCTATTGGAACCTGAACTTCGCAACGTTTAACGCTAGAACCATATCTAGTGAGGGAAGTCTAGCTGTACTATTCGAGGAGCTAGAGGGTGTTAAATGGGGTATAATAGGGCTCAGTGATGTTAAGATGACAGATGAGGCCTATACGGTGCTACAAAATGGGCGCGTCCTTGGTTATCGGGGCTTGGCAGACAGAAGAGAACTGGGAGTGGGGTTCCTAATTCACAGAAACATAGCTGGCAACATAGAGGAATACTATAGCATTAATGAAAGGGTAGTAGGTATCGTAATTAAACTGAATAAAAGATACAAGATGAAGGTGGTACAGGCTTATGCGCCTACATCCAGCCATGATGACGCTTCTGTTGAAAGCTTCTATGAAGACGTGGAATCGGCAATGAGTAAGGTAAAAACACAGTATACTATAGTGATGGGCGACTTTAATGCAAAGGTAGGGAAGAAGCAGGCTGGAGACCAGGCAGTATGAGATTATGGCATCGGTACTAGAAAAACGAGAGCAGAACTACTGTAGAATTCGCAGAATGCAATAATTTACGGATTTTGAATACCTTCTACCGAAAACGAGGAAACCGCAAGTGGACATGGAGGAGCCCTAATGGCGAAAATAAGAACGAAATAGACTTTATAATGAGTGCACACCCAGGAATCGTGCAGGATGTGGAAGTGGTTGATAAGGTACGATGCAGTGACCATAGAATGGTACGGTCTTGAATTCACCTAGACTTGAAGAAGGAACGACAGAAACTGATACGCAAGAAACCAAACAATGAGCTAGCACTGAATAAAGGCTATAAAGTCGTAAAAAGGCATGAAGCATTTTAACATTCCTGGAGTTCGCTTATGACTATGGAGGAACGGACTTTGCTACATGTCTTAGAAAGAGATATGGGAGTTCTTTCTATGAAAGTACATAGATGTTTTGTGTGATAAATAGTCCTGGTTTTTTTTTTTTTGATGATATGAAATTTCAAGGTGATACGAATATTCTTGCTTTCCCTTTGCTTCCCCTTGCATGGTGTGAGTGTATTTTACAAAGAGGGAATCGGTTCGTATATCTAATAATATGAATTATTTATACACCAGGCTATTTTGCTCTCTCTTTTGACTCAGCACCTTTTTGACTGTGTGTAGCCTCTAATGAACTGCTTAAAAAAGCATATTGGTTCATATAGATTCCAGCTCATGTGTTGAATTGGTGTAATTCGAATGCATTGCACATCGCTTTGGCTAGCGTAAAACTGACCACTTGCAGACAAGAGTCCACCCCAGCAGCCTCGTCGTGTGTCCAAGCTCGGCCGAGACACACTGCTGGATAAACAGACCGTCCAGGGCCGCCAGTGCCTGCTCGTACTGGATGCAGCCTCAGGCCAGCTCGAGGTGAGGGCCAGCTGTGCTTGTTCTGTGGTAACATATTCTGCGGCTGTTGTTTTGGCTTAGAGCGTGGCAATGGAGAGGCCAAGCGACAGGAGAGTGTGCAGCGAGACAACACGTATGTGGGCTTCGGGCGAGCCTGGCGAGAGAGTGTTCTTCTCAACGTTATTCATTCGTTTTGAAGGAGGGGGAAAAGGGGGTGATTGGCCGGCATAAGATGGGTCACACGACCTATGTGGCCATGCTGGGTTGGCTGCAAAAGACACATCAGTGGAGACTTAGCTCCATCCAGCGGCATGAATAGGCGACATCAACACACGGGTGCGTTGTCATGACTTCAGGGGCTGCTCGACACAACAGCTACCTCTGGGACTCATTCTGCAGTCTCAGTGCTGTCATATAGGCATCAAAATGTGGTGCAGTTCACCCTGATTTGTATCTAAGCGAGCTGTGCAGCTTTGTTGCATTATACACAGAGAGCTCCAGCATCACTGCTCTCATTCAACTCTTGGAATGAAGGAATCTTACGCATCACTGTGTATATTGCACCAGCACTTGACAGCACTTGACTGGGGCTACGTGATGGTGGACCTTGCCTGTCCAAACAGTTCAGAAATAAACAATAAAGGTGACATCAGCTTTATGCATGACGCATTTTCTACACCCACATGCAGCTATTGAATCCCTAGTAACAATTTGTTGCTGATGATGCAATGGAGGGGCGAATAAATGTCTGAAATAATGAATGGTATGGCTATAGTTCCAAGCATGATTCAAAAAGAGGCAGAACTGTCAATTCAAAATAAATCGGTACTGCGATCAAACTCTACTTCATGGTTAAGGGAGCATATTCACCTTTAGCCTGATGGACTCTTTCTTGAAGTTTAAAGTATATTGCAAAGGCTTATGTGGGATAAGTACGGCATATTTACAAGAGTACGAAGCCAAAGTGGAGAAAAAAATGCTGAAGGCGTTGAAGTTCTACTCTGAAGCTACAACTGTTTTGATACACAGAGTTTGTTTCACATATTTTTTAGCATGTGGCTGTATTTGAAAGGATTGTCAGCGGGCGGCGGCTGCATGCCAGTGCAAGCTGTGACATCGAATTCACCATGGTGGATGCAGAGTGCGAGGACTTCTGTCCTGCCGCTTCCCTTTCTCCACCTCTCCTTTACATCCCACTCTCCCCCTTCCGCACATCCACAAAAGCACTAGAAGGGCTATAGTATGGCACCCGGCAGCATTGTCCACTGCTGGTGCCATGAGCATTGTTCACTGCTGGCGCCATTCATAATGGTTCTAGCAATCGTAGTGGGGGCTGAGCGGTTTTAGAGGTGCACGCAATGGCTGGTGTTGTTGGCATGCTCATTTCTGGTGCATTAAGTGTAAAACCCTCATCAAAATAATGCATTTAAATCTCCGGGTAATGACGCTGCTCTAAGCGGACCCTGCAATGTGAAATGACCCTGTGGCACAACCAGTTCGAGAATTGCCCATTTTTTGACTCAAATGTTGCTCACACGAAATGTAGGTGAGTTTAAAAGAAATGTGAGTGTAATCAGCTGTTTAATATAAAGCTGAGATGCTGCTGTAAGAAGTGAGAGAGAGCGAGAGAAGTATAATTTGCCTTATTATAATGGAAAGTTATTCTCGGTCTCTTAGGTGATCCACTTCTTTTCAATATTGCTTTTGGATTGTATGCATGTTCCAGGGCTGTTACTTCAACAGGCTGCGTCGGAATAGATTAAGCCGGTCTGCAAGCCCACCTTAAAGGTCCAGATATTTTGCTCTTTTTGGCCACGTGGAAACTTCCCTGGATCAACATGCTTCTGAATATCTTGCTTTGTTCACACTAGGTACTCAAGGTCGCAGGCCTGATGCAGCCAAAAGGATGTGAAAATGCTATCTCGAGCTTTCAAGATAACTGATCACATGAGCATTCATTATTAATGCCGCCCACCATAGATTGCTGTTGCTGATGTGGCTTTGGATTTGTTTTTTTTTTGTGCAGACAGTTTACTGGCTTAATTTCTTCAATTTTTTAAAAGTAGAGGTTAAAAAAAGATATGTTCATGCCTCCTTCAATTACATGTTTAGCTGTCATTTTTAAAAGTATTGTAGTCTAGCTTTTCTGCAGAAAGAAGTGTAGGGTTATGCCATGGCCTTATTTAGGTGGTCTATCGTCGTTTTTTGATAGGGCAAGGTGGGGCATCACTATCTATATTCTTAGTTTTTTTTTTATATATGACGGTCCTCCGTGGTCTTCTCAAAGTCATATGATCGTGGTTCCACTGTAATGGGCAGCAGCTTTTTTTGGAGGCAATGCACCTTGGGGTCTCGGCGTGCATTGTCGTCTGCTGCTGTCGTTATAGTATTCGTTTGAGTGCAAGAGAGGGCCTCACCACCTCAGCACTCGCTGTGTGGGGAGAAAGAGCAAACGCCATGCAGTGACAATGGAAATGCACTTTCAGTGATGAAAGCTGGACTGCCAGCTTCATAGGGATGAGGATCGCACCTTCGCCCGCGATTGACAACACCGATGTAGGCACGGTCTGCTATACTTGTGTGCAACTTTTCTTGGCGATGAAGGGAAAGCTACAGGGGTGGAGCTTCTGCACATGTACTGTACTACGCGAAGTAGTCTGGTGTGTTATGCATTCCTAACTGCTGTCGAAAATGATGGCTGCACGCGACCAGTGTTTCATATCGATGCAGGTGTCACTTGGCATTCAAGTTACACTTAAAAGGCGTGGCGTTGAAAAACAAAAGGTGACAGCGTACAAATTAAAGAAAAACAAAATATCTTACTGTTGTGAGCTACGCTCTGCGTAAAAGAGCTACATGCAAGAAATAGAGGCAGTATTCGTATCTCAGGTGGAAAAAAACAGACACATTTGTAGGACTGTAGTAGGATACGCATGATTTGGCTCTATAACCTTCGCTGAATTGCCAGGAAGAGTTGTTTGACGTTACGTTGTCTGACTGTTGACGTTACGCCACCGTTCAACGGCCACCCCGTATATGTAAGCACTGCATGTTGATCATGCAATGCAGTGCCAGTGGGAGATTTCTCTTGTGCATAGTTGAACAGCAAAGACTTGCAGTGTGTGCAATAACTAAAGTGGACTCTCGGTCTCTGAGTTTAATCGGAACTCTCAGTTTCAGGGACTGGGGCTCCGATTTGACCCGTGAACACTGTTCGCCCCTGCCCAGGTTTCCCGTTAGTGGATCTTAAATGCCCTTCCCTACATGCCCCTTCACCACAATATTCTTGGTCTCTATCTGTTTGTGTGATCAGGTTCCTGTGCCATTCGTGTTATCATGGCACACACAATTTTTCCTCCGCACAGCTTTACGATGGTGGGGACGTGGCCCGTCGAGCATCGTGCCTGTACAGTGTGCCTGTGATGAATGCACGCCATGTGGTGTTGACGGACCAGCTGCTGGTTGTGGCTGCCGGTGGCGAGACTGGATCGCCCGACACTCAACTACACCTGTTCTCCAAAAGTGCCCTTGATTTCGCCAGCATTACCACAAAGAAGGTCAGAGCGAGTTCACCACTTCTGTGTACTCACCCACCCGTTCTAGTGTTTGTGCTCGAGGGGATAGTGTTTCAGAAAGCTGTTCAGTAAATGCCATTAAAATGTTGTACACCTTGCTTTGTGATTGCACACTATTGACAAGAACCTCGGCACTCCTTGAAATGTACATCTCATTTTGTGTAGTAGTTGCTAGGACTGTTGCAACCATAGAGTTTTCTAAAATTAACTAGAGGGGCTCTGGTGCGGCAATCGTTCAGTGACCATATTACACGGATTTGCCTAGTCTTCACCCTTGAGGATCTCGAACGCACTTGTGGCTTCATTTATTGCTGCGTTTCGGTTTTGTTTTAAACTTTGCTAGCTGATTTGAAATGGTGAGCCTAAAGGTTAAAGCAGTGAAGTGCAGCTGCTGAACATTTGCCGACTGTCGTTTTGTGACAAAGCAACTTCAAGCTACGCGAAGCGAACTGGAGCCGAAAGTACAAAAATTAGACAGATCTATTTACTACCCATCATTCCCATGCTCTCTGAAGCGTCGTGCGTCGCAGCTCCCATAAACACCAGCGCCACGGTTCCTTCTAGTGTATCTATAGGAAACTCTACGGTTGCAACTATAAGTACATGCATATTTTCACATTAGGGAATTCGTAACTTTCCTGCATAAGTTGGACATAAATACCACTCGTAACCGTGCTGTGAAGTGTGTATAGTTATTTTCTTTCATAAAACTTAAAGAAGCTATATGCATAGAATTGCATACATATTTCATACATTCTACAATTCCTAACTTCCATTTATTTAAATGAAGGTAGTCTATTACTATTTTTGTTATTGATTTTTAATGCATGCAAGCACTTAAGCTCTGTAAATCTTGCTTCTGACAAATTGCAAAAATACAGACTCTCACCAAGCTTGAACCACGATCCAAAAGATGCTCCCGATATTGTGACTCATGCTTTGGTTTTTCTTTGAAGGCGCATTTGCAGGACAATGTGAACGATTGGAAGTGCATTTGCATGCTTTGGCTGCCCTTTATTGTTTTCAGAGACAGCATCTCCCATTGAGAACTTGCACATAAGTTATGGGGAAGAAAAATAAAACATTATTTGGCTGTGAAATGAAATTTTCAATGTAAACTGCAAAGTACTTCACGTTAAAAAACTGGACCTGCAAACACTAACTCAGGAGACGAGCCCAGATGCCACAAATGCCGACTAATAACTGTTTACGGGCCATGAGTTGTTAGATGGCATTTGTGGTGTCTTTTTAGAGTAAATACATACCAACTAGCATCGTAATCACATGGCTATGCAGGCACTATAGCAAAGCCTAGCTATAGTGCCTAGAATATACTTAGTAGTGGGCTGACCGTGGGCGTTGCGGTAGCACGGAGAATGATGCCTTGTACGAGCAGCCACCAGACGGTCATAGCCGCAGGGACCGCGCTATGCCGAAAGGCCCGAGCGGAGCGCTATTGGCGGCGTTAAGGAACGCTCCAGCCAAACGGGCACGTGCGGCACACGCCGATGGGCTTCTCCCAGCCCGCTTTTAGAACTGTGGAACGCTGGTTGGTGGACGAAGCATAATCGAAGCATTACTTCTTCGTTGCACTTACAAACATAAGCAAGCCCCGTTATCATAAATGCAGTACACGACATTGAGTGTTTGATCGAAGAATTGCCAACAAATAAATAAGTTAATATGTCTGGTTTCTGAGGAAGAAGGTCCAATTGTAGTGAAGTTCAACAAAATTCAGTGGTGAAAATTATGGTATTTGGTTGATTTTATTATGCCACAACATTTTAACTAGAAACCGATTTTTCTAGTACTCAAAGCTGGGATGAGTTCATTGCATAAAGAACTTCAATTCTCTCATGATGTTTATGCTAGCTGAAATAATTAAAAGTAAATTACTTAAATATACTAATTAATGCTCTGAGTAATGTTTTTGGTCGTCTTGAGATGATGGCCACTACAGAGACGGCAATAAAGCAGCGAGCAAATAACGATTTTTTTTTTGAGGATTTTTGGCACATTCATTGAAACACTCGGTGCACATGCGGACCTTGTCGAGTGGCTCAACAAAAATAATGCATATTAAGGTGATAGCAGTTAAAGAGCTCATTTCAATGAAACCTGTATCAGAGACACTAGCTGGTTTCAGCGAGAAGTCATCTTGGCTGCGAAAAAAAAAAAATTGAGCGAGTTGCATAAAATAAGGCTAAAAATTTTTGGTTTGAGTTTTTCATGGGGAATTTCATTGATGATATCATCAACTCTAATTTTGAACGAGTGCTCAATGTAGCAATTACTTACGTGTTTCTCACAAACAACAGCCGCCAGAGTTGTCTTCGGTCTTTTCGCTTTATGTTCTCCCACTTGGCTAAATGTTGTGGATCTGCAGGGGCGCTGAATTATCAGACCTGCTCGTTGTTAGAGTGGCATCCACTCGCACAATATGGGAAAAAAACTGGTGCTGTCTTTACGCCTCCTTTTCTAGGATGACATCCCGGTTTCATAAAGAGATGCAAGGGTGAAGAATGTGCACAGGAAAGAAACACAGCAATGACATGTGGAGGCGTGTGTTGCATGCTGAACAGCAGAAATGCTCTGCAACTGCACTGTAACTTACTAGGTTCAGGAACGCGCATCCAAAGTGCATCCAAAGCGCAAGCAACGCGCACTCAATGCATGTGCAGCGCGCACTCTCGGTGTGCTTCGCCGCTCGGATAGCACGGTTTCTAAGGGTGTCACTGTCTGGAGGCCTCCGAAGGAAGGCATCATCAGCAGTGCCCGCGTCTCTCATTGGAAACACTCGTGGTTATATTCTAGGCACTATAGCATAGCCTTGTATGGTATAAAAGGAAAGTAAGGGGGGGGGGGGGGAAGAGAAAAATAAAGGAAACCCACCAGCTTTGCACTTCCCTCAGGCTTGGCACCACTGGTGTAGAGCTTCTTGATTTGTTTATCATCACTTTTTCTAACTATTTTAAAGAAACAAGAGAGTTTTAGAATTTGCCACAAAGAAAAGCTTAATACGCTCACATTAGATGCGATCATGGAGGTGTTGAACAGGAATGAAGGAGCTACTCACTGTAACACGTTCACGTTAATAGCCCTTGAAGTTCCTTAAAATGACAAGCTTCATCTGCAATAGTGTTGCATACTTTAGTACATTTACTTGTGATTCATTGCAGAAAGAGTGCATCGATCCCGTACTACAGAGGATCGTCATCAAAGAGCCTGCCTTGGCGATTTACCGTTGCGCAAGGCCTCGTTACCATTTGCAGGCAGCATTTACAGCTGGAACTGATGGCAAGTATAAAGTGCCACTGCATGCGAGAGTGCATCTGTGCATAGCATCCATTCAGCTGAGACGTAGTACTAAGGAACGGTTGGCAGAGCACAAAGACAACCTAACTGACCATGCTACCAATGAATTATTTGAGTGAGTCAACTTGAAGCTGGAATTTCACTTGTGAATGTTTAACATTCCACAACTTTCATTTTACAATGAAAGTTCGATAATTCAAACTCAGTTAATATGAACTTACACTGAATTCAAATGATGGCCCGGTCCTGGCACAGCCCTGTGTTTTTTCATGGGGAAATGCTCTCGATAATTTAAACGCATCAGCTATCCGCAGCAGGTAAATCGAACTAGCTTTCGTTGATTCTCGCACAAGTTGGCCCAAGGTGAGAACAGTGTGTTACAAAAGCCAAACAAAACCAAGTTTGCCTGAGATGCAAAACAATTTAACACCAGCATTTCTCAGCAGACGTGAATTCGGGTGCTGCGCTGGAACTTTTGGGCAAGCTGTAAAGGGTGCAAGTCATTACACAAAAATGCAAGAAAATACAAATAACTGATTGCTTTTAATTTCAAGTGCCTTAACTCAGCTATAAGAATAAATGTATTTTGGAGCATCAATAGTTTCATATACAGTAATACCTTGTCCTCGAAGTTGTAAAAACCAGATGAATTTTTGAGATAAACAAAGTTGCACTAATCGCTAGGAAAAATTGGGTGGTTTTTGCCAGGAAAAATTGGTTCCACTTACCGGCTCTTCAGTATCAGCTTCTTATCTTTTTTTTATAAAGGCTTAATGGTGAAAAAAAAATAAACATACAAGAGATGTTAACTTGCTGGGTTTTGGGTCGCTGCCATTTTATTTAGCAGAGAAAAATTGCTCAATGCTCGTCTGCTTTGCAGTCATACTCGGATGTAGGAAGGCGTTCCTCCAGCTGCTTGACCCATCGCATGAGCCAATCTTCCCTGTCACTTCACTCCACCTTATTTCGAGACAGGCCCAGGAATTTTCTCATTTCCGCAGATGTCGCCACCTCTCGAGGAGGTTTTCCGTCGCCTAAATTAGTGACTGTTCGAACGATTTCGTTCAGATTTGATGGGCGCAACTGATTTCAGTTGGCTGCTCTGGTTTTTCGCAGCCATACCATCAACACGGCTTCAACATCCGAGAATGGGGAGCCTCAAACCCACTTCCACTGGCTGTTGAAGCTCCGCCGAAATCCATCTTGCAACTTCTGCTTGTTTTTCAGCACTGTCGAAATTGTAGACAAAGGGATGCCGAATTCTTGCTCCATGCTATATTTTGTGCGAACTCCTTTATACACTTGCTTAATTAGGGAAACCTTCCTTTCTAGTCTTACCATCTTGCATTACTTTAGTGACGCCATGCTCGCCGCACTGACGCTAACCGTCGTATTCAGAAATGCTGCTTGACTTGAACTTGACTTGCCACCGACTTAATGCAGCACAAACGCATTTTGAGCACGCTGTCTTTAGGCGGTGCCAAGGCACCACAAATGCACAGACACGTTGCAAACGCACTGCATTGAAAGTGGTTTCAAGTCAAGTTCAAGTCAAGGAGCGTTTATGAATACAAGGGTGAGTTGCTGCTCCTCACAGTCAGCGAAAAATTTATATGCCTCTGAGAGAAAATCACAAGCACTGCGCAACGCGTACAAGACAAAATGTGCCAAGCATGGGCAGAGGGCCTGCCCTGCTGATGATGGTTGCCACATGATGTGCCACAGGGTGGCTCGACCAAGCTGGAATGGTACTAGGCGCCGCCTTTATGTTCATGAAACACATCGATGTAGAAGCAGGTGCGGCTAACTCGACAAACTTTAGGCACGGCTGCGTCGCGTGAATCTTAGGAAATGATCCCGGGGCGAAATTTTCAGTTCCACTCCCAGCCAACACTTTGAGATATCTGCGATTCGACCCAAAAATACTTCGAGATGAAGGGCAAAAAATACATGAGGCATATAGGAAAAAGTTACGTGCTGAGAAAAATTTCAATTTAGGTGATTTGTCGGGATATGAGAGTTTGATTTAACGAGTTACTACTGTATTTTGACATTAAGGCTCATTGATCATGTGAATTCATGTCAGTGCTTGTTTCTGGTATATCACCGACTGATCGATTAATTATATCTGCTGATAGAACTGCATTGACTTAATTTACAAAATCACCTGCCATAAACATGTAGTAGCACCTAATTAGCAATAATGGGTCTAGAGGTGGCTTCTTTGGATTCTGCTTGCACAGTGAGACATGACGTCCAATAATTCTGGTGCCCGCCCGCTCGCTAATCCTAACTCTGCTTAGTTAAAACTATATTTTGTGGTCCCTTTTGAGTTCATTTAATGATTATTTACTGTATTAGGCTCAGACAGATCACAAGTATACATAAACTGAGGAAAGTTTCATCGAGATCAATCAAGTAAAAAAAGTTAGGTGCCATTTACCTCCTTAATTTGAAGTGGTAATGCTCTATCAGTTGTGTGAAAGTCAGTAGAGTTGAGGAAATTATGTGCAAGGAAAATCGGTCTAATTTGCGAAGAGGGAAGTCCCACATGACTGGTTTGCTTGTTTGCTCTGCCTATACTTTGTGTGAGTCACTGATTTGTTTGACCTTGCTCTGTGATCAGCTGTCTGCCCAGTTAGTTCAGAGTGAGTGCACCAGAAGTACATGTTTTTTTTTTTTTGCAATATGTTTCTTTAGTTAGAAGGATGTGGTAGTGTACAGGGGCGTGATTCTTGATGTGTCCACCTTGGCCTCCACTGATTGGCTGGAGCTTGGCGAGCAGCCCTGTCCCTGTTCAGGGACCTTCTGCAATGTAATTTTGACGTCTCAAAGCTTTCACAATACTTGACACAAATGTGAGAGACGGAATGTGTTCCACTGCAATGAATTCTGCCCTCAGAGATCTGCTTCTGGATGCACATGTTGGAGGTTGTTCATGAACTCTAATCACGTTAGCCCTCGTTTAATGCAGTCACCCGCCTGACTCACCTGGAAGGTGGGTACATGTTCCCTGCATCGTTCTGAAACATCTGAGCACGTTCGTATGCTAGTTCAGGCTTGCCATGTTTGTTTAGGTGTCGTGTACATTCCGTCCACTTTCTTGCTCTTTACGCTGGGATTGTGCTGGCTGGTTTGGTGCACTGCCATGGTCAAGAGCACTGCAACATCATGGCTCGCTGCTTTTTCAAGTAACTGAATGCACTGCACTCAAGTGGACACATCCACAATAAGTATACATTAAGAATAGCTCACCAGTTGTGACAAAATCAAAGGCAACAATTTAAGGCTATGTAATGCACATACTTTGGTTCCATATTTTTAGTTTGTCATATTGGCGTTACTTGAACTAATACACATATGTCACAGCCAACATTGCCCTTATAGGCCAGATTCGTAGCAGTACAACATAGTTATCTCGAGCAGTCGTGCATACCAGTCAATACAGTAAAGTTATAATGTCATGAGCACTGTATTTGACTCCTTATAATTAAAGTGCAAAAAAAAAACGCAATCACAAGGGAGGGCACGTGTCCCGTGTCCTTTCTTGTGATTGCGTTCTTTTGCGCCTTAAGATCAATTATGAATTATCGAGAATGAAAACTCGACCAAGAAATAAATTTCGAGTATGCAACTGCTTTCAAGCATTTGGTGATGTTTTCTACAATTTAACAGTAATATATTTAATATCACACTGAAGTGAATGTGAAGCTAATATTTATTTGCTTGTACCTAAAATTGATTATTTTGACAAGTTGAGGTGTGAAATGCTTGATTAGAGCACCTAACGAAAGCCATGTTTTAGACATCTCTATGCATTTTGTGTTTCCTTCAACCACCTAGAGTATGATGTGCACTAGGCGTGACTTCATTGTTGCAAAATGTCTTTATGTACTTGCTTTACAGAAGAAAAGGAACTCAAAAGCAGGCAGTTTTGTATGTCGTTTCTCCTCAAGTTGGCCTTATTTATTTGTTCGAACTTCGAGTTGCTGGTCACAATAATACCGAGAAATTATCTCGAGACCTGTACGGTACTTCTTTTTTGCAAATAATTGTTTGTACTTCCACCCTGTAACGGCCCACTTCTGGGCTAACAGTATAAATAAATGAAATGAAATGAAATGAAATGAAATGAAATGAATTCCACTTTGAGTGATGGAAATGCTCGCTAGGGTTATTCTCTGTGAATTCAGTTCCTTTTGATGGAGATTTCTGCAAGCGTGAACAAATTTTATTTATGCAGCTGTGAATGAGAACCTTAAGGATGCTGATGAAGTGTCACTGACCTCAGAGACCTTTCTGGAAGGCTTCTACGTGGTGACGCGATATGGCATTTATGCCTGCAAGTCCAAGTACGTTTGTTTGTCTTTTCTACAGTTTATTGTATACAGTTTACATCCAATTTGGGACTGTCTAAGGACTGTCAAATCATGCAGAAGTAGTGAATAACATGAAAAAAATTAACGTGTGCTTTTTTTACAACTCTGAAAAGCTTAGATTACCACACCCTCAGGAGATAATGGCTTTGAAAGCCGCGTGTTAGATATTTGTGTATAATTAATAAATACTTTCTACGTTTTACAACAGGAGCCCCATTCCTTTCTTGTAGAGCTGTGGAAATAGCAAAATTTTGGGTGCGAATTTGAACATTGATGTGTGAGTGCGAATTAAATCTAATATTTTTTTAATATTTCCAGAATACTTCTCTAATGGTTCGAAGTGAAATTGCAGAAATAAAGCTGGAGCAGATGCCTTATGAGATATGGCAATGTAAAAGTGTTTCATGTTACTAAGTTTATGAAGTGCTGACAGGGTGGCACTTCATAGTTTACTTATCAAGGATGAGGCAATGCAAAGACCAAATTGTATTAGTGAATGATTTGGTACAACCGAAATGTTGCCATAAAGGCAAAGATGCTATTTCCTCAGCCTCTCCTCCTCTACGAACTTCTCTGAAAGGCCAACTGATGTGGTGGACGAGGTTATTTTTCCTTCAAGTTAGGAGTTTCAAATATACCTTGTATATGTCAACATACTAGAACATTTGAAATTTTGGATGCTAAAAATCCACGCCATCTGATTTTTCAGACTTCTTGCCCAGATTTCAGGTCCAAAATAGCTTTAATTGAGCCCGAACCTCTGCCACATCTATCATCTCCATGCTGGAACCAGCGTTTTCTTAAGTCAACACATTTGCAATCGTAGCAGAGCTTGGGAGGCAGATTTGCCACAATACAGGAATGTGATAAGGTAAAGGATTCGAAAGTCTGAGGGGGCCACTTTTATTCAAACTGTCAAGTGTAGCACACTCTGAAAGGCAGCTTTACTGCAATACGAGATTGTGTTGAGGTGAAATGTATCGAAGATTTAAAAGGGGCCACTTTTAGTTGGACATTCACTGCATTTGTCTTTGGGATAGTTCGAACAGCGAAAATTTCAATGTGGATCGAATCAAATGGCAAACACAACTCGAAAAACATTCGAACTTTGGGATATTCGCAAAGCTCTACTTTCTTGGTATGCTTCATGTCTGTATACCGTATTTACTCGCATAATTTGCACCCTCGCATAATTCACGCACCTCCAATATTTTGCCAGCTTTGAAAAAAAAATATTTACTTGCATATTTTGTGCTTCCCGACCCACCCGAGGCAGCTTGCCAGCAGGCGCACGAGGACACGTTCCAATGCTTTGGACGGGCGCCCACCTTGCCGAGCAGACAAGCGCAGTCAAACTGGCTGCGAGTACTCAGTCCATTCTTCCGAGGAATTCTCCCGAACTAGGGTCCCTAGAATATGTGCACGAGCACTCAAACCTAGCTGCGGACGGGTAGGCAGAACTGCTTGAGCATTTGCCTCCCTCTATCTCTCCATCTCTGATACCTCGAGAATGCACGCTTGCGTCACGGCATGGACAACTTTCTGCGTCGAAGGTATGTGAGCTCTAAGACCTGTCACACCAACTGTTTCCTCGTTCTCTGCGTATGCGCTGCAACTGCATGCTTGGTCGATTTCCGAAGTTTAGGTTTCGCCATCCAGCAGACGTGCCATCACAGTTTCCTAGTGATGTGCTATAGTCATTATATATGTGGCGAAATGAAAGCTCGCTGTTGTAAATTTTGCAGAAGAAATTGGGAACCGTGCCACTGCCAAGTACTTCAAGGTGACGTACTTCACTGTGTGACGATCGGCGCAATCGGTACATTAGAAAGCAGAAGAAAGCAGAGGAGTGAGCGCTTTCTAATGCAAGTTTCCTGCCACTGAAGAAGGCCTTTTCAATTAAGTGCAAACGCTTAACTCACCCGGTACCACCGTGTCGTGGGACCTAGTTTCTCACACTATCGCTGCGAAGAGCTTCAAGAAAATAGGGCATTCGAACGCACTAACAAAACCGAAGAGGATGCACTTTGGGAGGTCGGTGGCAGCAGCTGCGACGATGACTCCTAATCGAACTTCGCGATCAATTATTCTCACTAGATCGAGCATGACCGGATATTGCTGTTTAAAGTACGTGCTTAATCTTCTAAATTAACCAGCACATTTCGTATCCGCTCCAATTTTTTGGAGCAGATAATCTGAGGTCCAGATTATCTAATAGTCTCCTCATTTTTTCTGTCCGTTCTGTTCTGTTTAATTGAATTACCTGAAAACATGCTTTTACCTACCAGTGATTTGGTGAAGCAGGTGGAAAAAGGTTATAGAATGAGACAAAAAAGTACAGCTAATGTTCTTTTATGACCGATGCAATGAATGGACAAATTGTTAAGAGCATTGCTTCCTGGGTGCTTGTGTGGTGTCTTCTAGCGACAGTTCTTTACTGAGGTGCTTTGGTGGTTATTTAACACATAAAGTAGAAGACTTGCAGTGTGCTATTTTCGGTCACTCCTAAAGTCAAATGCAGTTGGTGCCCAGAATTTTAAAATTTGCCAGTGTTCACTTACAGTGCCCTGAAGGAGGCCTTCATCCTACTGTGAATATACATTCAAACTTTGATATAAAGAACACAAGTATAACAAAATATTGGTTGTAAGAAAGTTAATTAAATATAGTCTAGCAATAGATATAGTTTTATAAATATACTGTTCTAACGAATTTTCAGATATAGAGAACTTATTTTGTGTAAAATGTAACATTGTTGTAATGAGCTTTGAGTGTAGACTAATGATTGCAGTTGGTGGAGGTGTGAGTGACTTGTAGGTACTAGAGAAGCGCTGTCCTTTTTTGCAGGTGTTCAGTGGAGCGTCTGTTCCTGAGTTTTACGAGCTCCCCCTCGGCACTGTCCTCGGCTGAGCACCTGGGGGCCCTGTTGAACCTGGACATGTTCTTCCTTTACGAGGCAGCCGCGGAGGCACAGCTCGTGCGTGGACAGTTTCCACAAGCCGTACGTCTCTACCAATTGTCCAAGGTGAGCTTTCCACTGGCTTCGTGCAACTTGCTCATCTGAAAACTAGGCAGTAAAAAAAATTTAACCCTTTTGCCACCAAGGTGACACAGCAAGTGTGATGACAACAAACAGGAATGGTAAATAATGTAGGGGCAGCGGCTGACTTTTTGACTATTCATTCTGAAGTAACTTAAGAACTCTGATGTAAGGGAATACAGCCACTCCAGCGAACGATGCAGTTTGTGTGTTGTTGGTTGCTTCGAGGTGAACTAGGCTACGTGTTGATAAGCCACTTCACAATATATATGTACACACACATACATGCACGCACATACACACACACGCATGCACACACATGCACACATTCGCATGCGAATGCACATGCATTCACACACACAAACACATGCATGTGCGCACATGCGCACAACACAGAAGTCGTCTTGTTTATTCGTCCCTTGATGTTTATGTAGGCATCAACATCCCTCATCAGATCTCTCTCATTAAGAGTGCTCAATACGAAGTCAATTAAATATGTAGTTACTTTGCTTCTTGAGAACTTTTCTTTACGTGTGTCAGTTAAAAAAAGTTGGTAGACCCTACATACAGTGGGAATCGATAATAACCGAAGCACGGATACGTTGATATGTCACTTTAATATTAGCGCAACGTTACGAGGCAAACGTAAGCTATGCCGTACATGACTTTCATGTCATGATTATCATGTTTGAACGTGTCACTTACCGTAAATACCCATGTATAACACGAGGTTTTTTTTCTAATAGTAGCGTTCCAAATTTCAGCTTCGTACTATGTGCGGATCCGAACGAAAGTGTCCTCGAAAAACGAAGTTGTGCTTGAAGTTTTGGTTTCGTAACTGCCGCTTGGCTACGACGTCGTTTTGTCAACGAGTGGCTACGGCCTGGCTTCGTTATCCTTGCGTCTATGCGTGGCGAAAGTGAGCTCCAGCGCCATTTCTTTCTTTGTTGCTGAGTTTTTTGAGTGTGTACTTGGACAGCGGACGTGTGAACAGCGCTGTGTTCTGTGCCTCACTTCACTTCGCAAAGGTGCAACATGCCAGGGCACCAAGACCAGTACTCAGCTGCATTCAAAAGATAGGTCATCGCAGCTGTAGAGGAAATAGGCAACAGTGCGGCCGGAAGACAGTTTGGAGTCACTGAGGGAAGTGTCCGTGGATGGCGATGATAGAAAGAAGCGCTTTTTGCATCCTGCAGAAAGCAAAAAAGCTTTTGCGGTTCAAAGAAAAGGGCCTTCCCAGAGATTGAACTTGCACTGACAGAGTTTGTTCGACAGCAGTGGGCGGTGCACTTGCCAGTCAACATGGAGCTGATGCAGATGAAAGCTAGGGAGCTGGCGAGAGAAAAGGGGATGCTGAGCTCGGACTTCAAAGCCAGCAGGCACTGGATCGACCGTTACATGTGCCGAGCCAGATTTTTCCTGCGCCGGTGAACCTTCATTTCTCATCAGACGCTTCCTGAAGCCTTTGAAGAGCTTCTTATCTTATTTCAACGTCATGTGATTACGTTGAACCGCTCGCAGAACTTTCAGCTGGGACAAATTGGCAACACCGATCAAACGCCAGTTTACCTGGACATGCCAGCGCCCCTTACAGTTCACAAGAAGAGCTCGAAGCAGGTTTTTTTTTTTTTTATTTACAGATACTGCAGGCCCTACCCGGGCCCATGCAGGAGTGGGATACAAACAATACATTCAAGCAATAACTAGTAATATACTGGAGTACAGGGCATAAATGAAAGAATACATAACTATCAAGTACAGAAAGGTCAAATATATTTTCTCGCTGTACAACAGACTGCGCTCAACTAAGAATATTTTCAACATTTGTAGCCGGATGAATTGCACTCAAATGACACTATTTTCAGCATACATCACTTATATGGTGAAATTAATCTTTTCTACCTGTTGAGTGAATGAAGCCGTCGAGGCAGCATTCACTACTTCCGCAGGTAATGCGTTCCAATGAAAAATTGCGCGAGGAAAGAGAGCGAACTTGTGGGCAATAATGTGGCTGGGTGGCTGCTTAAACGTTTTGTTGTGATTTGTCCTAGCTGAAAGTTTAGAAGGCTGCTGAAGGTATCGTTCCCGTGATAATTAAAAGTCCCTGTGATCAAGTTGGTAGACGAATTTTAATCTGGATATTATCCTGCGCTGTTCTAGTATTTGTAGGCTTGCCCTATTACGTAGATTAGTTACACTATGTTGTCGGGAGTAAGCGGAATATATAAAGCGCAGAGCTAAATTTTGGACCCTTTCTATTTTCTTAATCAAATATTGTTGCCAAGGGCTCCAAAATAATGTCGGCATACTCCAATTTTGGTCGCACGAGTGCTTTAACGCTGTTAGTTTTAACGTGGGAGGAGTGTTACGCAGTTTTCTTTTCGAAAAGGATAATTTCTTAAGTGCACCCGAACACACATTTTCAACGTGCGTTTCCCAACTGAGGTTACTGGTAAGTGTAACTCCCAGATATTTAACCCGATCAGCTCTCGTGATTGCAGCATTTCCTATGAAATATGTGAAATGAAGGGGTAACGTTTTGTTGCAGGAATAATGCAGGTTAGTGTCCATACCACCAGCAATGAAAAAATGCTTGTCACATTCATGTTATCATGCATGGCGGACGGCCACAAGCTCCCACCTATTGTCGTCTTCAAGTGCAAGACACTGCCGAAAGGGGAGAAGCTACCGAAGAATGTCATTGTGAGATGTCACGATAAAGGCTGGATGAACGAAGACATTGTCCTAGACTGGGTAAAGTCTGTGTGGTGCAGATGACCTGGTGCCCTGCTGCCTTTTCCATCCATTCTGGTGCTGGACGCATTTCGCTGCCATTTGGCCGACTCAGTCAACAGGCTCTTGCGCGACTGCAGAACGGAACTGGTTGTGATTCCTGGTGGGATGACATCTCAACTGCAACCTCTTGACGTTTGTGTAAATAAGCCGTTCAAGGACATGCATTTGCGAACTCTATGTAATAATCTGACAGCGGAAGACAACCTTGATATAACGAAGTTTCCCTACAGAAAAATCATGAAATTTCGCCCCGTATTTCAGCATTATCCTTCTGTGGAGAGAATCGCCTGCCTTCGATTTTGACTGGAATGATGGCGTTTAGTTGACGGGCGCACAAAGATCACTTCGCTCGCTGAACAGGTGCCGTTTGAGAAAGGAGTGCACTTTCCAAACACATTGAAGTAACAACTGGGGCACTTGTTAGTTTGCACTCGTATCTGTACCTGTGATTACGTCTAGTGCCTTGTTTCTGTTTAAACAGTGCACTAAGTGTCGAGCGGTAAACGTTAGTTTGCTCTCGTCCTGCGTATATTGCTTCAGTGTGTGTCATTTGTGCGTTAGCAGCACGCTGCACGTTTCGATCTGCTTGCCGTTCTCAGAGTTACGTTCCAAGTTGTATTTATCGTATTCATTGCTTCGCCCTCGCGGTGAAACTGTGGCTTAATTTCGGACAACCGTGTTCTCACAATCGAGGGGATGTTAGATTAGGCGCTGATGGAAACTTTTCGAGACCACGCTGATGGTCACGAATCTTCGAAAGTGCCGCGCCGCGAGTTCTCAGGCTAATAGCTTTCGCGATTAGCCAATCAGTTCTGGCAACATGACGGCGCGTTGAATGAACAACGATAGCAAAAAATTGTACTGTTATAAGAAGTAAGGCTGGCAGCCAGCTCTTTTGGATCCGATATCGCGGAACTCCAAACAAAACGCTGGTGTGACCAAATATGGCCGTACCAGGGAGAAGTGCTCTTTTCACACAGTTTCTTCGCGTTGGAATTGCACTGATACTCGCCGAGATAGCAAGTGCGCCAGTGATTGCAATTGCCCTTAAAATCCAAGTTCATTATTGCTACTCAAGCATACTCAAACGACCTCCTCCCCCACCTTCCCTGCATTGTTTCATGCTCGTTCAAGATGGGTGGTTTACTTTCTGTTTCAGCATTCGGCAACGGTTCTAACATGCGGGAGATGTTATCTTCTGCACTTTCCAGGAGATAGGGATGGACCGACTAATTTGATCTCTGCTTCAGCAGCGCTTGCACACTTTTACTCGCCCGTGAAAGATACGATGCGCAGCGGCATGTTATCAATTTGGACTTGTTATGGAACATGGCAGCAACGGCAAATACCCGCCGAGAGTGTCCATATAGTTGCTATTGCAATAATAATGCAGGTTTTTAATGTAAAATAAGCGTTTTGGGCTAGCTCTGCCTTCAGTCCCCCTTTTGTTTAATTTGCGTGTTTATTTTTCGAGTTTTCATACCGAACCTGCATAGAACAAAGTCCTATATATAACGAATTTTTACGGGAATTTATTAATTTCGTTATATCCAGGTTTAACTGTGAGGCTAGCGAAACAGCTGCAAGTGCATCATGAGCGTGGCATGTTGTCATGTTTTACCTGGCACGCATGTCATGATTATCATGTTTGCACCAGTCATATACCTTCGTCATCCATTCACGTCACGTAATAGCAAATTTAGTATATGAAAAGCTAGTGAAACGTCCTTGAGCACACTATGAGTGTACCAAGTAGTCATGGTTTACATGACACGTATGTCATGCTTATCATGTTTGGACAAGTTATTTACCTTTGTCATAAGTTCCCGTCACGTAATACCACACTCGGTGTATGTGAAGCCAGCGAAATGGCTGTAAGCGGATTATGAGTGGAGCATGTAGTCATGTTTTACACGACATGCATGTTATAATTATTATGTTTGCACCAGTCATATATATTCGTCATCCATTCACATCACGTTACACCTAATTTAGTATATGTGAAGCTAGTGAAACAGCCGCGAGCGCACTATGAGCGTACCAAGTAGTGTTGTTTTACATGACACGTGTATCATGATCATGTTTGGACATGTCATTTATCTTCGTCGTCAGATCGCGTCATGTAATACCGAATTCAGGTATATGTGAAGTTAGCGAAACAGCCACTAGTACACTACAAGTATATCACG